TTATTTTATTTTATTTTATTTTATTTTATTTTATTTTATTTTATTTTCTCTTATTTTCATATGCCAGAAAAGCCCCTACTGGTAAGGTAGGGGCATACAGTCACATACGATTATTCTTCTGATCATATATAACAGAAAGAATACAATCCTGGAGCCAATGAGAATCATGTACAACTCTCCCATCAACAATATCAAGGTGATGTGTGTACTAATTACCTGTAGTTGGGCTTTACTCAATATATACCTGAATCTGAAGATATCGTACCTTGTAAATAAATACAAATACGATGTGCCAAATTCAAAGCAAAAATTAAATATGATTTAGAAGCTAATTGACAGTCTAATTAGAGCCACAGCCTTTGAGAAAAGCACAATTCGTTCCTTATATTACATCATGTGAAAAAAATAAATGCAGAGGCTTCTTACCCCCAAATCACTAACACGCTGAGTGAAGAATCGCAGATTAGTTTTACCTAAATATCTAACTCGAAGTGAGAGAGCGTGGGCTACTGGCACAATAAAACCTTTCATGACTACAGTCTGCATCCCCCACTTCTGACAAGTTATTTAGAAGGTGGGGAAGATTTGGATGTGTTTCTCTGCTCTCATCGTATTTCACTGGACAAGAAACTGCTTGATTTGAGTAAAATGTGTGCGGTTAGAAACCGACTTTTCCAGAGCAGGAAAACTTGAGTGGTAAATGACACCCTGGTCCCTATAGGGAATTGGCAATAAAGACTTTAGCATCTTCAGACCTTGAAGAGAGCCAATGGGTCCTATGGCCAAGATCCTGATGCTTCTTTATGTTGCAGTGATGTGAAAGTTAGGGTGTATTTACTTATTTTTGCTTATATTTACATACTCCGACTTTATCTACAAAAGGCTACCAGACCTTTGTAGGTTGGGCACCCTCATCAGTTTGGAGGGATCAAAGGGCCAAAGTAGGAAAACTACTTTGAGTTGCAGCTCCCACTTAGCCCAGACACAGTAATAAACTATGTATGACCTTGAGAAGGTTATTTGTCAGTTCTGACCTCATTTTCTTTTCTGAAAAGCTAAACCATGGAACTAAGCCAATGGTTCTTTATGCTTTTGTCTTTTGAAACATCCATGAAGTTAGTAAGTATAAGAATTTGCAATGTTTCCTTTAAATCTCATTCAGTTTCTTTAAAAGGCACATTAGAAAGATGTCAAGGGACTTTATTTTCACAAAACCCTTGAATGGATCCCATTGGTGTAAACAGAAATCCCCAAGTCCTTTTCCAAATTTACAAACGTTTTGTTACTAACAGTTATAATATTTTTTTTAAATAAACAATATTTGAAATCTTCCTTATTGGTGCTATATACCCATATGTACTATAAATTATTGTTGATAACTCAATGACTATTTCTGAAACATTTTAGAACTTCAGTATGCCAAATTGTGGAAAGTCTTTGAGAACTGAAGAATGTAGACCAGGTCTAGCTGTGCGTGGACCTATTATCGAAAGCCTGAAGAGTTTTCTTATCTAAAACACAAGAGTGCTGAAAATATATGACTTCCATTATTTTCATTAAATTACTAAATGGTAGGTTTGGGAAAAAATACAGTTTGCCAAAGGAGACCCTGTATCTCCATTCCAGTTTTGCTTTGTATGGTTTACTGAGGTCAGAATGGGAAAAACGTTTTAGGCATTTTAATTTTTGATATTGAAACACAAAGATCATTCAGTTTTGTTTCTCTATGTGCAGTCTGTGATCACTTCACCTGAGGGTCTGTGTGTGGGGGTGGATGTTGGGGCAGGGTGGGATACGAAGGAAGCATAATGAGTTATGTGAGCCTTTATGGAGGTCTGGAATGAAATACCTGAAAACCAGTCACCTCCGGCTCCATCTATAACCTCCACAGAATTGGCTGGCTTAGTTCAATATTCTCTGAAGAAATTTCTATTTGGAAGATGAAATTGAAGTGAACTTATAAATTGGTCTTCTCTGACAAAGAAAGAGATTTTTAGTGGTTTCTTTAAAAGCTATAAGTGGTTTTCCTAACAGGCAACAAATCATAGAACGCTATTATCCTAACCCAGCCAGGCTCCACAACCGCATGCCTGAGATGGTGTGTCTGCTGATTCGCTGTTTTCGCCATCCCTGACGTCTGATCTTATTGATTTTGTAGAAAAAGAAAAAAAAAAGGAGAAAGAAAAAATAACTGACTAAAACTGGATGATCCAAATGTCTGTGTGGATGGCTTCGGCCTCCCCTGAGCTGTTATTTTAGTATGCACATTATGATGCATGACTATTCACTTCAAAACTTCAACCTCAGCGCTTGTGGCACTGCCAAACCTTAACCACACATTTCCTGTCAGCTCTAATGGTAAATTCAGATGGTATGTTGGGTGACAGGGATCCTCTACTTTCCTCCAGAGATGGAAAAGAGAGAAAAGGAGTCAAATTTGAGTAAAGCAAAAGTGTAACAGTGTTGACAAGGAGCTTTTCTCTGTTAGGAAGGAGCCTTGTCAAAGTCTGAGGGTCCTGATGGAGACCAACAGTTTGGATTAAATCAATATGGCAGACAATATGCTTAACTAGTGCAGTAGGGATGACAAATATACGTACTACATGAGAATACTCTATGAAAACCATTTCAGTGTCTATTCATTGCTTCTGCATTAATGCAATGAAATAAACAGTATAAACAACTTAAGAGAGAAAATCATTTTCTTCAGACTTTTGGGAATTTCAGTTCATTCTGTTGGAAAAGATGTGTCAAACAAGAGGAGCTCACATCATGGTGGCCAGAAAGCAGAGAGAACTGGCAAGGGTTCCCAATGAGATTCTTCTACCACATCTCAGGCTGTGCTTTAGTAACATCCTACTTGCTGACGCTCACCTCCCTCAAGTGAAGGAGATTAGCCAGTGCATGCTATTATGCCAGCTTTAATAGGACAAATAATATTGAGTTTCTCAAAAGTCTAGGGAGGTTTTCATATCTTCAAAAAGCTAAATACAGATTTGGGCTAGTTTAACTGGATTTTGCTCCAGGTCCTATTTAGATTTAGAAATAGCTAACTAGAGTTTTTAGAAATGCAATCTGGCTAGCAGATATCAAGAAGAGAATATCAGTGCTGAGGCTGGTACACACTGAGAATATTAGTACTGATCAAAGGGGGCAACTATTTGACAGAGGTTTTACTTGTAAAATTTAATGTGCTATGATTAATATATATATATATATGTATATATACATATGTATACACATATATATGTAGATTATACAAACACACATACACATATACGCTGACAGGGATATATGGCTAAGCTGTAAAATTGGTTATTAATAAACAGCAAATCAGCAGGCACTACAGTATCTTCAATTCACTGATTTTTCTGTGTTAAAATCTGTGGAGTAAATTGGAATCACCCTTTTATCCAGTGTTACTCAGTGAGGTGGAATGAAAAACAGGGAACACTCATCTGTCATTTTCCAGGTTTTGCACAAATTATCTTATTGATTATCACTGGAGTGTGACTTCATGTGGATGGAGGAATGAAGTATCTTATGTCCTAGTTAAGGTTTCTATTGCTGTGATGAAACACCATGGCCAAAGTAACTTGGATAAGACAGGCTTTATTTGAATCATGCTTCCACATTGCTGTTGATCATTGAAGGAAGTCAGGACCAGAACTCAAACATGGCAGGACCCTGGAGGCAGGACCTGATGTAAAGGCCATGGAACAGTGCTACTTACAGGCTTATTCCAAATGGCTTGTTCAACCTCTTTTTTTTATATAATACTCAGGACAACAAGTCCAGGGGTGGCATCACCCATAATCGTCATCAATCACTAATTAGGAAAATCCCCTACAGGCTTACCTACTGCCCAATTTTCTGGAGGTATTTTCTCAATTGAGACTCCCTCCTCTCCAAGGACTCTACCTTGTATCAATCTCATATAAAATTAGCCAGTGTGCCTTATCTACCATTGCATTTTAACATAATGAATAATGAATGAAACAAGATAGGTACTCGATAAATATTTGTTGAATGAATGATTGAATCGCCCTATAATATGAAGCATTATACCCCTATCCATTGTGTAGGTGAAGAAACATTGCAGAAAAGTTTAGTGACTTGCTCAAGGTCCTGCATCCAATTAGTAACGCGAAGCCTGGAGCCCAGGTTTGTAGATTCCAAAACCTCAGGGTGAGACTATACCTTAAGAATCATTTCTATAGTTTGTTAAATCCTGAGTTGTGTTTTGTTCCAGGTGATCTTTAAAGTTTATTTATATGATGTGATTGGCACTAATGGACAGACTCCCTGCAGTCGCTCTGGGTTCTACTTACCCTACTTACAAACCAAGCAAATTCATGATTAGACGACTTGACTTCTCAGCTAAGTCTGATAACATGGGATTAATTTATAATATCATGAATAATCTTATGCTTGCATATGAGAGCCTTATACTCACCAAAGAAGGGGGTGCTAAAGACTCCATCTAGGTCTAGTGAACTTAGGTCTATCAGGTAGTTGAGAATCCCAGAACCACCATCACAGATACATTTCTTAAAAGTGAGAACCTTCCCTTAGTAATCCAGGGAGGTTGTTTTGCAGATGGCTTTCAGCCAGTAGCTTATTTAGAATGTACACAAATGGAAGATGTCGAGGGCATGTAGTCTGTTGTACTAAATGTTTAGCATGGTAACATTCAACTACAGAATGAGTGAGAGATGCAAACTTAGCTAGAATTCGAGATGGCTGTCTCATTGTAACTGCTAACTGTGATGCTACACTTACTTTGCTGAAAGGGGCATTCCCCTGCAGAACATAATTCCAATTTTCACCACTGACCAGAACCCAGTCTCTCACTTACCGAAAGTTTCGAACCACGGAAGTGTGACCCTTTCTAAGAGCTGCACTGTTGAGCAGGATCCTCAAATTAGACAACATCTTCTTTTGCTAGAGCGAAGGAGGAATCTATGGTCTAGAGAGCTCCACAGTCAGGCAGGCAGTGGGGGCCACTGGCAAGCTAAGAATGCTTTCAGTTGCAGAGAGGGAGCAAAGGTCCCATCACCCTTCCACTACCTTATCAGATCAGCCTGGTTAGAGATAGAGCAGGGCAGGGTGCAGGGGCACTTGAACTTTAAGCCTAACTCTGCGGTTGTTTTTTTAAAGAAAGAATCCTAACTCTTTCAGAGCCCAGCCTCTTCATTTTTCATAATGTATTTATGCTGTCACTTGCTTGGATAAAAATCAGCTGACAAGTACCCATTGAGCACGTAATATATGCAAGGCACTGCCGTGTTGGGGCTGCTGTGGAGGTACACTGAAATAACAATAACGCATTCAGAAAATGTAAATTGACAGTACAAAACCCCAGATGGAGCTGTGACAACCCTGTGTATCCCATTGATTTCAGCTTCCTACCTAGCACTCCCATCCATTCCACAAAGGCAAATAGAAAGGGATGGACTCAAAGTTGAGTTTCCATGGCAGCAAGTTAGAGAGGTGTAGAGGTATAATAAAAAGATCTCAGTCTCGGGGTTCCCTTTATGTCTTGCACATAATAGATGTTTAGTAAGTCAGTAGGTGCTTACTGATTCTGGTGTGAGTTTCCATCAAGTACTAGTGGATGCCCACCACCACCGCCGCCTCAGCAACTCCTCAGGTCACCAAGGGCCTGAAAAAAAGTTTCACATTTGTTCATTTAGCCACAGCTTGAAATGGACTGGCTTTAAATTCTCATCTGTGTGAGACAGCAGGGGAGACTAGAATTTCAAAAGAGGAAATGATCACATCTTTGCAGAGCTTAAGATTTCAACAAGGGTCATCACATTTGTAAATAATATTCCTAGTCCAAGCCCATATGAAAGGTCCAGATAATGTTGTCCTGCATAATGCAGAAGAGGGAAACCTTTAGGCCCAGAAGGGTGGAAGACAAGGGACAAAGGAGAGGGGAGGCAGGTGCCTCCTATTGTCAATTCATGTGTCTTAGCAAACCCTGATGTGTACTTGCTAGAAGTTTATAGACTACCACCAGTAAATGCCATTTGAAAGTCAGCCGTGGCTGCTTCAGGAGCAGAGATGGTTATGAGATCATCATTGATATTGACAAGGAAATAAATCTCAACACACTTGCCTTCTACTTATGGAGAATGATTTTGGATGAAGAGAAAGAAAATCGAATTTCCAAACTTCTGCTAAATCATATGTTCTGGAGAGAGCACTCCAGGCAGAAGCAATTGTTTGTAAAATTCACAAGAAAGGAGGCAGAGGGTGAACGTGCCAGGTAGAATAGATAGCTGCTTGTTGGAAAGGACAGTAAAGCTCCTTTGAAGTGGAAAGGTAGGGCAGCTGAACAGGTCTCAGGGCCTGAAAGTATTCTCATACTTCGAGGAAGGAAAGTGTTTGCTTGTATGGAGTCTGAAGAGCACACACTAAGAGAAAGCTTCCAGCTTCACTACCATGTCATTACTCATTTGGACTTACTAAACAATGTATAGGAACAATGTCTGGGCAAAAGGGCAAGCTTTGTCTGTAGTTTTATGCTAGAAAATGTGGGCAGCACTTTACAAAGTAACTCATCAGTCCTTCTACTTTTAAGGAAGTAGAAGCCCAACACCAGAGGGGGCTAAGAGAGACTGAAGCTAGCACAAAGACTGGGATTGAGGAGCTGTGCTGCAGTTGGGAAGGTGCATATGGCTATTTCACTGAATCTCAAACGGGAAGCTATTGGAGTGGAATGGAGAAGTATATCTCAAGTAGCCCACTTCGGCTGATACAACAGTACATGGAGCTCTTTACCTTGCAGGCTTTTGTGTTTGTATTAGTTACTTTTCTCTCTGTTGCCAGGAAACACCGAGAAAGGGCAATTTAAGGAATAAAAGGATTACTTTCTCTTAGAATTTCATTGAGAAACTTCATTATGGTGAAACTCGCAATGTGGTCTGCAAAGAGCACTCCAGGCAGAAGCAATTGTTTGTAAAAGCCACATGAAAGGAGATAGAGGGTGAATGTACCAAGTAGGAGAGCCTGAAGTAGCTGGTCCTATTGTATCTACAGTTGCAAAGCAGAGAGAGATGAAGGCTAGCTCTTAGCTTGTCTTCTTTTTATTTAGCCTAGGACTCAAATCCTTGGAATGATATTGCTCATGTGCAGAATGTTTTGTTTTGTTTTATTTTGTTTTGTTTTTTGGGGTTTTTTTGCCGCAAATAACCTAATTTAGACAGGGCATCTGACAGACCCAGGCATTTGTTCCCATGGTGGTTCATAATCCCATCAAATTGATAATCAAGATTTATTATCATCACAGTGTTCATCCTCAGAACTCATTCATGTGCACTGACTGATCCCTCCATTTCTCTGATTGAGCATCAGCTCTCTCTCTCTCTCTCTCTCTCTCTCTCTCTCTCTCTCTCTCTCTCACACACACACACACACACACACACACACACACACACACACACAGAAAGAGAGAGAGAGAGAGAGGGAGAGGGAGAGGGAGAGGGAGAGGGAGAGGGAGAGGGAGAGGGAGAGGGAGAGGGAGAGGGAGAGAAAATTCTGGATGGGCTCTGAGAAACATAGTGATGATGAACAGGGAAGATACTGTCTATGTAATCTTCATGATTTGAAATGATTTAAGAATATCAGCTTCTGTCTATGGAAAAAACCCTAACTGAGCCCAGGTGGCTTGTCACTTATTCTTTCACTTCAGAGCACATGAGACACCCACTTCCCTAGCTTGGGCCAGACTATGGTGTGGCATTAGGTGGGCTAAAATGATAACCTATCTATGATTTGTAAAATAGCCATAACGAGACACCCAAACCCAAGGAATCAGGCTGACTCTCCATGGCTTCTTCCTGCTGAATAGGGACAATGAGAAATTCTTTCAAGGGGTGGGGAGGGATAGGAAAATTAGAACATTGGTTAGACTTAACAAAGCTAGCCTTAGCATCTGTTATCCAGTCTCTGTATGCTTAGAAGACTCTGGGTTTAACTGAAGTCCTGACTGGATCCATCTGAGAGGCTGGATGAGGCAAGAGCATCTGGAATCAGTAGCAATTCATCAAGCTGTTCTGGAAGCAAGTCTCTGGACAGCATCAGGAAGCAGGGTGCTGGAACAGCAGGTCAGTTCAGCATCTCTGAGGATGGATCTTGTCAAAGCTGTACATTCTGTACTATATGCATCTCACAACCAAAATGTTAGTACCATAAAGAGATTCCTGTGGGTTGCTCAGGGTACACAGATCAGTTAAGGATGAAATGTTGCTCCTTGTTTGAGCATGTGAAAGACAACTGGGTTTTTTATGCGTTAATTTTATCAATAATCAATTGTAGTAAATCTTCATTCAAGCCATACGAAGGAGGGCATGAAGAATCTTAAGGATTCCATAACCAACAAGATTTATTGTCTCATTTTAGCTGAAGTTTTGGCTAGAGATATTTTTATGTCTAAGCCAGATCCTGGGCTGCTCCCATGTCAAGGAAGCAGCAGATCAAGTTGCCTGTCCTCTTTGATTTTCTTGAATTTTTTGAGATCCTCAGGAGGTCTTCCACTGTCATATCTGATCCATATCACTCTGGAAGGGGTCCAGAGCCTTTTCACCTTTCCTGTCAATACAAATGCAGAGCATCTCTCCCAAAATAGCATATCCTTGGCCCAGTAATGATTTTTGGTTAAAAATCATTAAAGGTATATCTCTCTCCCAGAGGAATTTTAATATAACCTCCAAATTCATAACCACATGCATTTTGATAATTAAAACAATAAAAAGCAATTAAAGCAATTCAAACAAATATTAAACATTGAGACAGTGCTTCTTTACCACCTCCTGCTTTTTGACATATAATTTAAGATCAAAAGCCTTAATATATTATACATAAGTCCTACCTACTATGGAGATTAATCTCTTCATGGGTACATATTGTAGTATGCCCCTTTCTCTTTATTTAATTTTCAAGGCATAAGCTTCTACTGTCTATAGGTTAGGCTTCCTATCCCCTGCTTTCAATTTAATTGTTTTTAAGATAAAATGCCTCAATATTTTATACATCTGTGTAATTAACTTCAATTAAATGCCCTTCTACTTACTGTATAAGCCTATTTCTAGGCTCTAGTATTTGCCATACTTGGCTGACAATCCCAGAAATCCCATGTTGACCACACTTGACGATCCTGAGAATTTACCCTGGCAAGACTTTGAAATATCTTTAAAGCATTTGTTCATTTATTCTCCCTACCTTCTCCCTTCTGTGGAGCTTAATATCTCCTGCCAATGTGTTTGCATCTTTCATTCATGGATCCAAGAATAGGTCCTGAGTGGGTGCACGTGTGAGATCCACCAGGAGCCAAAGTGATGTAGCAAAAACTCACCGCTACACATGATGCCTGTAGAGATATCTTAGTGGCTGAGTTCACTTGCTGCTCTTACAGAGAATCCAGGTTCAGTTCCCATCACCCACATGATTGCTGACAACTTAACTCCAATTCCTGGGAAACTCATAACCTCTTCTGATATCCAAGGGCACCAAGCATACACATGCTATACAGATGTCCATACAGGCAAAACACCCATACACATAAAATAAAAATAAAAATAAAAATAAAATAAATATATTTCAAAAGATTACAAATTTTAGCTCTGTACAAATAAGTTAAATTACTACAGTGATAGGTTTTGATTTACTACAAAGTGTTACTAATTGCATAAATAATTTTAAGTGATGTTATATCTACCATGTATAAAGAATTCTGCCTACATGTGTGCCTGCACACCAAAAGAGGGCACCAGATCTATAGATGTTTATGAGCCACCATGTGGTTGCTGGGAATTGAAGTCAGAACCTCTGAAAGAGCAGCTAGTGCTCTTAACCACTGAGCCATCTTTCCAGTTCCTGCACGAATAATTTTATAGCTTGTTCTCTGTAATCTTCATGGCTTTTAAAAAATCAGACTGACAGATGGCTCAGTTTTTAGGAACATTCCCTGTTCTTCCAGAGCACCCAATTTCAGTTTCCCGAACTCCCTTTGAGTGGAGCTGCC